TGTATTTTTTCACATTTTCTGATGTCTATACCATGTACATATATTGCACTTATAGTCAATGGAAAGAATTTTAAAAGTGTTTAAATTCTCATTTGAGTTAAAACATTTCCCTCAGTATTTCTTAGTCTATCTTCTTAATGTTTTTTCTCTCCAACTATCTGCTCCTCTCCCTACATAATATTTTTGAGAACTAACTGCATGCACTAAATGTATTTTGTGTGCACTGCATCTTATTCACATTCTTATTTCATCCTGAGAATAATTCTGTTGAAAGCACTATGATTGCCTCCATTTTACAGATGAGGAAGCTGAAGCTGGAACGTGACTTTTTCAAGGTCACACATCTAAACTATAGTGTAAGGGCTTGAACTCAGGTCCATCTGACAGTGGAGCCAAGGGCTTTAACTACTATCTTATACTGATTTCAAGAGTTCTTTGATTCTCTGTGTGTTGAGATGATTGCCAAGTATCTAAGCAAAGAACTGATCCTGGAATCAATTCAATACTCTTGTAAGACATTTTTTATATTATATTCAGTAATTCAGCTTTCATACTATGATAATCAAGAGAAAATTTCTTCTGGCTATGTAGACAGATAATCAGAGAAAAACACTGCCTCTTTTTTTTTTTTTTTGAGACGGAGTCTCACTCTGTCACCCATGCTGGAGTGCAGTGGCACAATCTTGGCTCACTGCACCCTCTGCCTCCCAGGTTCAAGCAGTTCTTCTGCCTCCGCCTCCTGAGTAGCTGGGACTACAGGCAAGCACCACCAAGCCCAGCTAATTTTTATATTTTTAGTAGATACAGGGTTTCACCATATTGGCCAGGAATGGTCTTGAACTCCTGATCTCATGATCCTCTTGCCTCAGCCTCCCAAAGTGCTGAGATTACAGGTGTGAGCCACCACACCTGGCCCCTCATGTTATTTTTGATGAATGTTTCAGTCTAAAAATTTCAATCATAGTCCAAGAAAGAAATGCAGTTTGCATGTGGGAACCAGGTCTTGAGAAGAAAGGGCCTTTCTTCTAAAGTCTAGTGTTTATTAAGAGCTTTTTTTATCATTGAATATTAACTGAAAAGAAAGTTAATAACACACCAGAAAATTCGTGGTCAGAAGAATTTGCACTGCATATTTAATAACAAATCATACCTTAAACATCTCTCCTTGTTTCTCCTTTCCTCCCTCAAACTGTATTCACCAACTGAACCATAGGTCACAGGTTGGATCATAAGAATTCCTTCATGCCTGTACACAAAAAGCAGACAATCTATCCTCTTTCTTCTTACTCTTTTCAAGATTTTAAAAGCACTGAAAGAAAAATTTTCTAATAATAATAGTGTTATAATAGCTACCATTTATTAAATGTTCACCATATGTCATGCATTTCATTAAGCAATTTTTATCTCCAATTTTCACAACAACCTTCCTCACAGATTAGAAATCCACAATTGGGATTGTGGATTCTTTGGTTTACCCAAGATCACAAAGCTCTAACTTAAAGGTCAGTGATTACTGCATAGTTGTGGTGGGGAAAGGAGGACCAGGCGGGAGAGTTAAGCTAGAACTTGCCATTCAACATACAGCGGAACTAGCATTCAAACCAAATGTATTTGACTCCACTAATACATATTGCCACTCGAGTCATTTGGCTCTGAAAAGTCAAAAGGAGAGAACCAGACAATTTAACTCTTGAGGTGACACTAAAATTCATTAACCATCTATGAGACATTAAATGTATATGTTATATCACATCCTAATTTTCTGGAATCAATTTTATTTCACAATTTATTTTTTCAGGAATACTGTATATATAAATCATAAATAAAATATATAAATATAAGTTAATATTCAATGGTCAAAGATGTTCTATGGTCAAAGATGTTATAAATATAAATTCTGAAACCCTTGTATTAACAATTAATTAAACAATTATAAAGTCTTATAAAATTCCATTAACAAACCCAAGCAAAACACTATAATTAGAAGTGAAAATTTTTTGTCAATATGAAATTAAGAAGTAAGTTATGCTTCCTTACTAATAATATAAGTTATAAGGATCTTCTCTTACCACTGAATTGTATTTAGCTTTCCTGGCAGAGATTTCCTGGAATATTCCACAATGTTTTTGCTTAGATAACATAATTGTTTACACTAGTTTTGTTATTTATTTCCAGGAAACATGTCCAGGAGGCAGAAATCAGATCATTTTTGAAATATTGGTTTCTGTTGTATTATGTGATATGTGATATTTAAGTATCAAAGTCATTTATAATAAAAAAGAACTTGAAGTCAAGGAAAAAAATGAATGAATATATTTGTTATTCTACTATTATTTTTGAATCTTGTAACTAAATGTTTGTCTTTTTATATTAGAAGCACAGGACAATATAACTTGTCCATGATTTCCCAATAGTGACACAGAAAATAATCATATAATTTTGTTCATAGGGAATTTTTTAAAACTAAATCTACCCACTGTTTAATTTCACTTTGCAAAACTTTTTGCGTTTTGCTTAGGCCAGTAATTGTGGATTACACAGTACAATGATTGCATTCATACATCATGACTCAATCAATTCAACAAAAATTCATTGAGTATCACATACAAAGCATTGCTAAGCTCTAAGGAAGGATAAAGAGATGAGTAAGATTCTGAAAGAGACATGATAGCAACTAAGAGATAAAGCAGAAGTAAGATCAATACCATAATAAAGGTATAAAGTGCTATGTAATCACAGTATGAGCAATTAATACTGATTGAATACATGTGTAATGGAAAAGTTGGAAAAGAAACTAACATTGAATACCTCCATTGAAAATATCCCAGGTCTTTACGGACATTATTTTATTCAATCTATGCAAGTTGACAGATATTGTGAAAGAGTTTTCAAATGTACTCTGAATATTTTTCTTGCAGTAACTGTGATATATGTTGCTTAAAACTCAAGTAAAATGTAGAAATCCTATCTCAAAATACATAAAATTAAAACTTTGTAGGCTTATAAAAGGCAAGCTTCATACCACTTAAACAGAATGATGCAAAGCCAAAGCACCCAGTTCACCAGCCCAGATACTGATTACAGCTGCCCGGCGAGGGCCCCTGCTCTGTGTGTCTTGATGGATCATGCCTGAGGTTTCTAGCTTCTTTGGCAGATGAGCCATCAGGACTGGGGAACTGCCCTGAAGAAGTACTTAGCCACCCAGCAGCTTCTGGGGCTTTGCACACGCTGTTTCCTCTGTCTTAAAAGCTTTCTTCCCCATCTTGTCTCCATCATTATCTGACGACTACCACTTTCAGGTCTAAAGCATAGACATCACCTCCTCTGGGACATCTTCTGAGTCCCCACCCCTACTCCACACACACGTTTGTCTTAATTAAGTGTCCTTGATCTTCAGTTCATTCATTGTACCCTATATTAACCCCAGATAGCACACTTGAAACTATTTACTTGTCTTCTGCTACGTAAGTCTGCAGTCACCTTGCAGGCAGAAACTGTGTTATGTTCAGCCAGTAGCACATAATGTTACCTCATAGGCGCTTACTACGGGTTGAAATATGCCCCCCACATGCAAAAATTACACTGATGTTCTAACCAGCAGTACCTCAGAATGTGACCTTATTTGGAAACAGGGTCTTTGCAGATGAAATTAGTAAGATGAGGCCATGGTGGAGTAGGTTGTGCACCTAATCCAGTTTGATTGGAGTCCTCATAAGACGATTGCCATGTGAAGATGGAGACACAGAGAGAATGCCATGTGACAACAAAGGCAAAGATTGGAGTTATGCAAGCCAAGGAATGCCACAGCTTGCCAGCAAACCAACAGAAACTAGAAAGAAGCAAAGAAACCCTATAGGTTTCAGAGGGAGCACAACCCTACCAATACCTCGATTTCTTCTAGTTTCCTGAACTGTGAGACAATAAATATTGTTTTAAGCCATGCAGTGTGTGGTACTTTGTTACAGCAGCCTTGGGAAAGTACTCAATAAATTTAGGTAGATGACAGAATCTGCACCTGGCTATGACAAATCTACGTCTATTCCCACTTCTTATTTCTTTCTTGCAGCTTGATCTAAACAGAATTTCTTTGATTTTATCTGGCCATTTGAAGTTATAAGTTTTATTTGTTTGATGTTAGATTATCAGGCTTTTCTTTTGTTCTCATATACACTAGAGGTGATTTTCTGCCTGGGTATCTCCAAAACTTAATATAGATGAATTCTATGAAAAAAATGGAACCTATATTTGCCTATTTTTATAGTTTATATATTGATAAATCTTCATGCCTGCACTAAGTTAGTTTTTTGCACTTAGGTAAACTCACCTGAGAATGGGCAGGTCTCAATATCTAAGCTAGAAATAGGAGAGATGAAAGAAGAAAGCTTTGTTGCCCTATGCAAGCAGCATGATGTTTGAGCTTGCTAATGCTGCTTCTTGCCACCATTAGTGGCAATTTAGTGTGATGGTCAATAGCTTGAACTTTGTTTCTAAATGGAGCTAGGATCAAATCTGGTTCTGCCACTTAATAGCTTGGGTAAGTTATTTAACCTTACTAAGCTTCAGTTTCCTCACCTATACAATGGAGTAATAGTACTGTCAAACTTCTGAGTTGTTATAAGAAAATAACGACATAATGTCTGTAAAGCTGTTATCATAGCTCATGTGGTAAGGTCTTAATAAATATTCGTTATTTTTAAAAAGTTAGTTATTATTAGGTGGGAAGAAACCCTCCATTTAGGGTCAATTATGTAAAGCAGCATTTTATTATTTTACAATAAAATTTTACAGCATTTTAATATTTTACAAAAGCATTTTGTAAAGCAGCATTGTCTTGAATAAAAATAGGATTTTGGCACAAATGAAAATATATAAATATATCTTGGGAATAATATTTTAAAATTCTGCCAATACAAGATGAAAATGGAAGAATTCTACCTTCCATAGGCATAAGTCTTCATTATTGAGTCAAGACACCCACTTTTTTTTCTTTCTTTAAACAGGCTAAAACAAGAGAAGAGATTCTCCAACTCTTAAGAAAACAAAGAGAAGAAAGGATCTCGGTGAGACCAATAGTGAGGCATTTGGATAATCTATCTCAAGGGATGAATTGTGGCAAATTTGCAGAGGTTTTATAGATTGAACCCTTAAATCTAGCTAGCTATAGTCCAGAGCCATCGATATACCAGAGTGGGGCAAGGTACAGACATCAGATAATTTGGCAATCGTTGATAAATCAAAACTGTCTCCAGAGTTTGCAGCCCTCCTGGCATAAGAAATGAGGTATTATTGTCAGTGGAGTTTATTGTTCACATATTATAAAGCTGTAAGATATTAACATGGGCTATTTTGGTGCTAATATTTGTTTACAATGATTGAGCTTGCCTAGATCATACAAAAATAAATGTTAAATGAAGAGACACAAACCTAGTAAAAATAGTAATAGCATCATGTAAACTTGTGGATGTACAAAACACACACTCCTAAATAAACCCCAAACTCCCTAATGTGCAACATTTCTGACCCCGCAGTTTCCAGATTTAAGAAGCTAGTCTATAAACTCTGATGATTTTACCTCAGCTTTTTTTCAAGTGAGTACATTGCAGTCAGTGCAAGAAGTAAAATTTTAGCTTTTTGATTTTTGTTTTGTTTGGTTTCAGAAAGAACTGATTTCCCTTCCTTATAAACCAAAAGCCAAAGAACACAAAGCAAAGTAAGTTGACTTCTGTCAAAAATATTCTCTCACCTTTTAACTTACTGTGTAGGGAAGCGCTTCTTTTTTCTTACTTTGCCACTTACCCTTAAATCTTCTAGAAACCCACCCCAGTGTATTACAGATTTCTTGCCTTGAAAAAACTTTCTTCTCTGCATAGCTATTAAAGCCTGTGTACGAACTTGTCAGTCTGTGGAATATACAAGCATAAGTTAGTGCAAAACGGAAAGCAGCTCAGCCTTGAAGCTCTGTGCACATTCTCTGTCCCTCCCTTACCATCCTGGGCTATGTAGCCACCCACCACCATGCCTTCCTGACTCCACTATCCCCTATCCACACCTGGCCCACTTCTTTAGTGAATCAGCAGGTGTTTGTAGTTCACCAGCTCTGAGTGGGCTAAGGTTGCTAAAATTAATTCATGTAGCAAACTCTCAATGATGAGGGAGTAGCCTTATCTCTGGAATAATGTTAGAGCAGGACTAGGACACTTTAAGTCTAGAAGAGTTTAAAGGAAATAAGCAAGCAATAGTTAATCACTAACACACCCCTAATAAGAAATCTCTCCATTTTTGTATTATGACTAAAAACCAATGTGGCTAACTCAACATTAATTTGACAAATATTCATTTTCATACTACATTCAGGGAGAAACAGTAAGTTAGAGAATTTTGATTTTTCTCTCATTGGTATTGAGGCTGTCTTTAATGTTATCAAAGTAATACCCTTAAAGAAGAAAGTATATGTCCACACTAATTTTTTAAACTTCCGGAAAAAAAATTAAAGATCATTTCATCACCTAACTATATTATCTACACAATGCTCAGCAACCTAATTTCTCACTTTTTAGCCAGACAATTTGACTCAGCTTCTACAGATGAAGCAAAACTAGCCCAATCAAGAGTGACTTAATGATACAAATAGTGGATGAAGACTGCTACTTAAATAGCATCAATAGATATGTCTGGGTGCCTTAGATTTCTGCATCTATTTTTACAGAACGTTCCTGTTACTACCCATGTTGACCCATCTAATAATAAAACATTTCACAGCTTGGGCAGATAATTCTGTTAATAATTTAAATAATTACTTAATTCCTTTTGTAAATTAACTTTGTCCTGCATCCTGAAACTTTGAATTTCATTCTATTCTGCTGTGATATCTTCTTACTATGAACTTCTTCTAGTTACTCTTTTTTTTTTTATTTTTTTTTTTTTGAGATGGAGTCTCACTCCGTCACCCAGGCTGGAGTGCAGTGGCGCGATCTCAGCTCACTGCAACCTCTGCCACCCAGGTTCAAGCAATTCTCCTGTCTCAGCCTCCCGAGAAGCTGGGATTACAGGCGCCTGCCACCGCACTCATATAATTTTTGTAGTTTTAGTAGAGACAGGGTTTCACCATCTTGGCCAAGCTAGTCTTGAACTCCTGCTCATGATCCACCCGCCTCAGCCTCCCAAAGTGCTGGGATTACAGGCGTGAGCCATCATGCCCGGCCTCTAGTTACTCTTTGTACATTCTTTGGGTAACTAATCATGCACTACTCTGTGCCCATATTTTGTAATTATTTAACTCTTATTATAGCTTGCATTATTAACTTTTCCCATATTTTTTGTATTGTCTGTAACTATCTTGTAAGGTCCACGAGGAATTGGGTCACCCAAAGTGCCAGCAAACTGCTTACGTGCTAGACTTCAGAAAGTATTTATAACAAAGAGTTTAGTTTAAAAATATCATGTAATTCAGTGTTAGCCAATTTGGAAAGTGATGTTTGCATACTATACATTAATTTATAAACTTTAAAAACTATTCTAATTATTTTAGACACAAATGTAAAATAATTCCCTTACATACACAGACGCCCCCTTACCGTTCCTCCTTCAACAGATCTTCTTAGTATAATCCAGGTCCTCTTCTGTTAGAAAGAAGGAACCGGAAAATGTGTTCATAGAAAGGTTTTAGTGGCAATATGTTTATTATCCATCCCAGAATATTTGCATTTTAAAAGAAGTCTGAATAAATAAAACAATGAGTAATCAAAAAAACTCAATTGCCAATGATGAACTCTCAGGAGTCTGACTCTCGAATAAACAAAACACATTTAGGATAGGAGGGCTCCTGTACCTCCAAACCACACTTCACAGTATCACAACCACTTCTCCCACATACAAGTTTATACTTGGTTGCAAAACCCAACACATAGAATCCACAACAGTGAATTTTTACTGGGAGAATTTTCGAAAGTTGTTTTCATGCTACATCATGTTCACAATGGCAGAGTTCTGTGTATTGGAACTGACTGATATTACTACCAACAGGAAAGTGGTATCAGAGTCAGATAAAGAAGACCAAGAAGAAGTCAAAGCCTTGGACTAATTTGCTTGACACATGACAGAGGATGGCTCACTTATATCTTCACTTTGGAAACAACCTTCTCTTAGATCAGGATCATTGAGATCACTGGCAACACTATAGTAGACAAAGAAATACAAGTTAAATATGCAAATTTCCAGGAATTTTACCAGTTAGTGAATACTTGTGTTAAAATAAAGAAATAAAAGTTACATATGCAGACTTCTATGAATTCTACCAGCTATTGAATATTTGTGTCTATTTTACTTACTGGGTACTACTGTTTGACACCACACCATACATCTCTTTCATCTTACCACATTCTCAAACTCCTATTTATCTTGTTTTCATCTGAAGAGTATTTCCAGAATTTCTATTCTAGATCTATATTATGACTATCAGGTAAGCAAGAAGCAGGGGCTTTATGTGTCTTAACTTGTAGACCACCAGTAAAAACAATCAGGAAATAGGAATGAAAGGGCAGTTTTGAAAACTTCAAGTCTACTTGCTTTAATAAGAAAACCACTTAGCAAAATTTGGTTTGTTCCATTTCTGGAACATGTCTGAAGTCAGAAATGAGTTGCTTCTACCTCTGTGAATAACTGGCTCCACATGCCTATGTTTTACACACATACATAAACCTAGTGCCAATCTCCCTCACTTTCATTCCCTTTGCTATGTAATGGAAAAGAAAAGATTAAGGATTTGTCCCTTCTGCATTGTCCAAATGGCAGTCCTACTCAGGGTTAGATGCTCTTCCCCATCCCTCCTTCAAGAGATCTTAGCATAATCCAGACCCCTTCTGTCAGAAAGAAAGAACTGGAAAGTGTTTATAGTAAAGCTTTAGTAGCAATATGTTTATTATCCACCCAGGAATATTTGCATTTTAAAATAAGGCTGAATAGAAGGAACAATGGGTAATCCAAGGAAATCAGTTACCAATGATGAAATCTCAGGAGTCTGACTCTTGGGTAAGCAACATATATTTAGGGTAAGAGGGCTACCCAGAGTTTGCAGCTCTATTTAAGGCCACCATTCCCATCACTACTGGCCTCCACTTGGAACTCTTGGACACAGCTTTCATAAGACGCAGCCCCCATCCACTGTGCCAACAGAAGACTGGGTGACCCATTGGTCAGAACTTAATCACAAGGACACATCAGGCTGTGAGGGAGGCTGGAAATAGTCTTTAGAAAATGGGGAGGGGGCTTCTGTCTAATTAAAATTCAGGGATTCTATCGCCAAAAGAAGTGGAGAATGGATATTAGGGGACAATGACAAGGTTCTGGCACAACACTATTTGAAGAAAAATGTTTGGAACAAAAGGAAGTCAGGCCTAGGAAAGGAAAATTTTTAAAGTTATAAATTGGCAGCCTCTTCCCAGTACCAGCAAGAATAAAGGGTACCCCATTTGGTTGATGTATTTGTCTGCCTGACAGATAGGTCTTTGTTGTGAAGATGGACACAGCAGGCTATCAAAGCCTAAACTAGTAAATCATATAACTAATTCTTTTCATTCTGATTCCATGCTGATAAATCTTTTTTGCCAAGAGGGAGAGTATGTGTTCAACAGGCCAATACAAGCATTAGTTTACCTGACAATTCTATTTCTCAATGTGTAAATATATTAGTCTCTTAGATTGGGTTTGAGCATGTTAAACTAGGAATTGGACTCTGGATCAAGGTAATTTTACCAAGAAAAATTCTACTTTGTGAACTTTTTGGCAACCAGCCTTCCCCTGGTGATAACTCCCTACATTGCCAAGTGTAATGGTTAGCTATTGCTGCAACAATGCTGCATAACAAAGGGGTCTAAAACAACATTTATTATTGCTCACACATCTGCAGTTTGTGTGATCTAGTTTGGCTGATCTAGGCTTAGCCAGACAGCTCTGCTTCAAGCTACAGCACCTAGAGCAGCTCTGCCTCTTACTGCAAGTTTGTCAGTTGCCTGAGGTAGCTCTGCTCCATTTGTCATCCTCTTAGAGATACACATAGACCAGTGGGATATCTAAGGTATGTTCCTCTCAGAGAGTGGCAGAGAAGAAAAAGAAATATGAGGGCTTTTCTGGTCTAAGCTCAGAACTGATTCATTCTGTTAGCCAAACAAGTCAATCACACGATCGAACACAAAGTCAAGGTGTGGGGAAATATAACTCTGCCTCTTTAGTAAGAGAAACTACGAAGTCATACGGTAAAGGATATGGGTACAGGGAGGTGTGGAGAATTGGGGCATTATTGTAATCTACCAGGTTTGGTTGACTGTATACCCTAACAAAGTCCATCTGAAACCAAGGTCCAGAGTATCAAAGCAAGAAGTCGGGACATGATTTAATTATGTGGACCCAAGTAACAGCTTTTAAAGTTGAAGCAGATGTTACAATATTAGAAATAAATCCTTTACAATTGACATTAAGTGCCTAGATATCTGAACATTTACATGTATATTTGCCTTATCAAACACTCACAAAACTCTTAAGACAACTGTTAATGTTACCAACAGTTAAGTGAAACTTAGGCAAAGGGACTCACCAAAGGCCACAGAGACATTAAATGAAGAAGAGCAGGATCTGAAACAGAACCTCAAATGCCAACTCAAGTGCTTCTTTTCACTATAACAGTTCTTTCTGGTTGTTTTGATAACCAAGAATTTCTAAGAAGAATGTGTGTTGGATGTGACATTGACATATTCTAACTGGGACATAAGGAAGGACTATAAATGATCTTGCCATAAAGGTCAGGCCTCATCCTGCCACAATAGCTGTTAACGTGCCACAGCAGAGCTCCCCCATATTCTCCGGTGATACTGAAATTTATCCCACTCCCCTCTCACCGCCAGCCTGTATTCAGGTGGTTTGTCCAGAATTGCAGTGGCTAGAGGCCTTAGAAGCATCACTGCTTTCTTGGCTGTTTGAAAAGCAGAAAGAGTACCTAAGAAACAGCAAGCTGGAACCAAAATCCAGAGGTCGAGGCCCAGATGGGGCTTCTGCTATGCTTCACAGCAGCATAGTGTGGCAGACAAGGCAGAAAGTCAGATTCACCGTGTGCTACTGAGTGCCTTCATCTTTGGACAGACGGCTCACTCTATTACTTGACTCCATATATATATATTTGTTGTTGTTGTTGTTGTTGTTGTTGTTTTTTGAGACGGAGTCTCGCTCTGTCGCCCAGGCTGGATTGCAGTGGCCGGATCTCAGCTCACTGCAAGCTCCGCCTCCCGGGTTTACGCCATTCTCCTGCCTCAGCCTCCCGAGTAGCTGGGACTACAGGCGCCCGCCACCTCGCCCGGCTAGTTTTTTGTATTTTTAGTAGAGACGGGGTTTCACCGTGTTCGCCAGGATGGTCTCGATCTCCTGACCTCGTGATCCGCCCGTCTTGGCCTCCCAAAGTGCTGGGATTACAGGCTTGAGCCACCGCGCCCGGCCTTGACTATATTTAAAAGCATTACGTTTACGAAACCGAAGTGAAACACACCTACTTTGGGAGTTTACAAGAGGAAGCACACATTGAGGGCTAGGTTAGGAAAGCTTTTCCTGAGATTGTAGTTTTATTCTTTCCTGGGGGGCGAGGGGCCAAAGCTGAACTCCCTAACTATGACCCCCACCTCCCAACCCGTTCCCTACCAAAAAAAAAAAAAACCAGAATCATTTCCTTTCTGGGATCTGGGACATCTTTTGGCTTCTGGTGGAAGCCGCTCTCCTTTCAGCCGGGAAGTCTCCAACTCAGCCACGTTCTTTGGACGCCATCGGCGCGGTGTCCCGTAACTTTCCTGGCCGGTGGGCACACTGCCTGCGTGAGTGTTTGTTCTCTGCATCGACCTTTCCTTGCTCAGATGTCGCCCTTCGTGCCGGGACTGCGGCCTGCTGAGCCCCAGGTAGGAATCCACGCCTCGCCTCTCCCTCCGGCTGCACCCGCACAGCTGGCGAACTTGGCTAAGGTCCGGCGGAGAGGGGTGAGATGTGGTGCTAGTTTTAGGCACAGCGTGCTCGTCATCAGATTGCAGAGGGGCCCGACTGCAGTATTCCTCCGCCCAGCGTCTCGGGCAAACGCGGGATCTCCCAAGGAAGCTCGGAGTGGGGCGGGGAGCTGGCCCCCCTCTGCGACGCGCTCTCCTCTGGCTGGCCGAGTGTCTGGCGCCATCCTCGCTGGAGGAGGTTGTCGGGGGCGGGCCGGCCAGCGGGGCTGCCCTCCCCGCAGTGACGTCCCAGTGGGCGGAGGGGCGACCAACTGTCTCCGCGCCCTCCCCCCTCCTCCCGTGCGGTCCGTCGGTCCCCAGGAGATGCTGCTGCCGCGGTTGCAGTGGTCGCGCACGCCGCCGCCTGCCAGCTCGCTCCACCGCCGTAGCGCCCGGGTGTCGGAAGGCGCACCTGAGTCGGGCCATGAGGCCGGGAACCGCGCTGCAGGCCGTGGTGCTGACCGTGCTGCTGGTGGGGCTGCGGGCCGCGACGGGTCGCCTGCTGAGCGGTGAGTGCGCGCACTGGGGCGGAGGCTGGTGCTGGGGTGGGCTCGGCAGAGGTACTCACTGCACCCCAGCTGCTGACCCTTTCCTGGGCCGCCACGCATGGGACTAGGGGGGCGTTCCATGCCCCACTCCCAGACGCGGCCCTTCGGAGTCTCCTGCTTCCAGGGAGCAGTCGCACGGCGTCTGAGACCCGCGCCAGTTCCCGGAGCCGTGCAGTTCCCTGCGCGTCCTGGAACGCTCGAAGCCCGTTGCCAGTCCAGAGTTATGGGGGTGGGTTGGAGGATTTAGGAGAGGTGGGGCAGTGGACAAACCTGCCCCAGTGGGTGCCCCTTCGGCCAGCTCCTTTACACACATCGAGTCAGTCCTTGGGACCACCCCCGCGGGTCAGGCTTGCCAGCTGGCCCCCGCCTACCGCCCGCTCGGGGAGGTGACTGCAGAGACAGCGGGGTAGGGATGCTGGATCCGCGGTGCCGTGGGAATCCTCCCTGTTACTCCTCGTCTTTTCTGGAGGGTTGCATGGCTGGGTCCAGCGCCTGGAATGAGAGCGCTTAGAGAGCGGGAAAGAACTCCAGTTAGTGTGGGACGAGCCCCGCCTGACTCCGGGGAATGACTGTCTGCTTCCTTCCTCCTGTTGTGTCACTGCAGCCTCGGATTTGGACCTCAGAGGAGGTACAGTGCTCTGGCTTCTGGCCTCTTTCAGCTGTTCTGCATGTCGGGGGGAGAACATCCGTGCCCTTTTCTCAGATCCCCTTTGCGGGTGCCAA